ATTGCCGCAAAGCTTTAACGCGACTGCTCTGAGGCTGGTTTAGGTCCGCTTTAGTTGTTAAACAGTCAAACACCATTTGTACATTCATTGCTGCCAAACTATGCGAATCAGCTTTCTGTTACTCGTGCTGCATTATCAAATTTTAATAAAAACCATAGCTAAAGTAAGTTACTTATATTTAACCATGTTTGCTGGTGCTTTGAAAGGTAAGTACGTTCACAATCAGGACGGAGCTCGTGTCTAGTATGTGAAGTCAGGCCAATTAGTAATCGTTTGTTTTATAAACCACCCTTAAGGGTTAGTTTGACTCTTACAGGTGTTACATATTTTTTTTTTCAATAAAATCGTTTACAAAATAATATTTTGAATGAATTAGACATGTATAGACGTCCTTTTGGAAATAATAAATAAATAAAATCCTTAGAATTAATGTGTTCTTTCCCTTGAAAGTAATTCAGACCTACAAAACCAATAAAATTAAGAGATAGTTATCTCGATTTTACCCTACAATAAACATATAACTCTGGCGTCCTCGTCCTGCGGTGCATTCCTGCTGATTCCCAACACCTACCTTTGCAAAATCAGCGGGATCTCCCCCTCCCCCGCGCTCTGTCAGCAGGAAATGCTCGGAATAATTCGCGTCTCTCGCGGCGACCGAGCTCGCGCTTGCGTGTCCTCCGCTGAAGCGGGCGAACGTCGCCCGCCCGATTCCCCTATCTAGCGGAGCGGCCCAGTTGCTAAGCAACCCGTTCCTAACTCTTGCTGCAGTAATGATTGGTGGCGTAGAGACTTACAATGGCTGCCGCACTGTCTACTACACTCTACACCCGATAAACACACTATTTACCCGGCCGGGGGGGGAGGGAGGGGGGCGCGACGATAAGTCGGTCGTTTGTATGTACCTGGCGAGAGGTACGCGCCACTGCCGGAAATTTGGCGAGAAGTTGTTACGCGAAGTTGTGCCCGGTTTAATTCGCGATTAATTATTCGGGACGAGTTCGCTGGGACGCGCAGCATATCTCTTGACTTTGTCTGAGTTCGATTTTCGATAGGGATGTTGTGCATCTTGAATATTTTTACGTATCTGGTACTATCAGATCACTTAATTTTAAAGTATCGAACAGGAATCAAATTTATATACAAAATATCTATAGCACTTCATACGAGATCATTTTGTTTTATTTAGAGATCTACCTACGTCTTAACACTGTAAGAAAAATTGGTCTTATTTTCACTCAATTTCATTCAATAATGTATCAATTTTTGTCCACCCTATTGAGTGAAATATATCTCTTTTAGTATGAGTATGTACAATTAAAATTAAATTTATGAGTGAAACTATCAGTTTTACTTCAAATATTTTCAGAAGTGTCAAATTATCAAAATGCCCAATATTGACTCAATGGATTCTCACTCAGCCTTCACTCAGACCGATTTATTTACAGTTACATGGCAATTTTTATAGAAAATCTATTTTCGCAATTGTCTGAAAACTTTGTCGGTTTATTTAAAGTGAAATGCAGCCAGATCCCACTTATCTTATTTTACATTTATGGCAACTTGAATTATTATTACTGCCAAAGGCATTATTAGTTACCTTCGTTATGTTAAGGAATAATAATAAACTAGACTGACTAAATACTGTAAATACTATGAATAGTGTGAATACAGTATTGTGTATTGAATACAGTACAGTACAGTATTGCGAATACATACTGTAAAAAAATTTCACTCACATTTCGCTCAATTTTACTCAATAATGTATCAATTTCTGTCCACATCCCATTGAGTGAAGTCTTCTCTCTTATTAGTATGAGTAGAACTGAGTGAAACTATTGCATCAGAAATGAGTGAGCTTTACTCAAATCTGAGTTACTAGGCCAGTCATTATAGCTTTTTTTCGGGAAACAATTTTTTTGCGGAATATTGTTCGGAAATGTGTTATAAATAAAATATCAAAAAATCAACTCGAGACTAGTTGGGAAACTTTGTTAAAACAATGGTCAAAATTATGGAAAAGTGGTTTTTTGACTCGCGTAAAATAACTGTTATTCATAGAGAAAAAAAGGTTTATACAAAAAAGGTAGGTATTAAATAAATCTGTAAAATAAGACAAGTCCGATTAAATTCCGATAATTTGTTTATGCGCAAGAGCTCAAAAATGGTCGAAATTGTCCGCTTTTTTCAATTGCTAATAATTAATGCAATTTTCATCGCAGACACTTGTAATTCAGGATTTTTGAAGCTTTTTGCACCCTTAATAAGTGGTAAAAATTTCAGCCCAAAAACTTCATTAGCTTGGCGTTGGCGGAATTTGTTATCTAAGAAGATGCTATTTTCAATTCATTTTTCCCAAGCTCACAGGCGTTGTAGGGTTTCGATCATTAGTTGTTTTTGTACCTAAATAGTTGTATTGACATATGCATTTACTGACAATTTAATTTTTCAAATTTAATTTGTTTAAAAATGACTGAAAAAATGTTAATATTTATTAAATTGTTAAGCGCGCATGCTCCGCCTCGCTCTCCCCACTCGTTCGCTGAACCAAGTAATAGAACGCATCGCCGCTATCTTCTTTTCCGCAATTAAATAGTTGAATTCACTTTAATGTTAATGTAGGACATGAAAATATAGCTCTTAATGTATAACTCTTTCCAAATTTCGGCTCTTAATATTAATAATGGATTAAGGTCACTGCGATTAAATAAAAAAATATATCTCAGCTTTTAATCAACAATGTTTTTTTTTTAATTCGAAGAAAATTAAAGTATAGAGGTTACTATTTTATTTTATAATAATTACCTATCTTAACAATTTAATAAATATTAACATTTTTTCAGTCATTTTTAAACAAATTAAATTTGAAAAACTAAATTCTCAGTAAATGCATATGTCAATACAACTATTTAGGTACAAAAACAACTAACACGAAACTCTACAACGCCTGTGAGCTTGGGAAAAATGAATTGAAAATAGCATCTTCTTAGATAACAAATTTCGCTAACGCCAAACCAATGAAGCTTTCGGGCTGAAATTTTTATCACTTATTAAGGGTGTAAAAAGTGTCTACGATGAAAATTGCACTAATTATTAGCAATTGAAAAAAACGGCCATTTTCGACCATTTTTGAGCTCTTGCGCATAAACAAATTATCCGAATTTAATCGGACTTGTCTCATTTTAAAGGTTTATTTAATGCTTACCTTTCTTGTATAAACCTCTTTTCGCTATGAATAATAGTTTTTTTACGCGAGTTAAAAAACCACTTGTCCATAACTTTGACCATTGTTTAATGAAGTTTCCCAACTAGTCTCGAGTTGATTTTTTATCTATAACACATTTCCGAACAATATTCCGCAGAAAAACTTCTAATAGTATTTTTTTTCTCGAAACAGGCTGTTCCATGTCTATAATGACTGGACTATACTGCTAACTATCTTGAGTGACTTTTGACTCTATTCTGAGTATGTAAAATCAATTAAGAGTTGACTTTTTCTCTAATATTGGAACTATTAGTGAATTATTTTATACTCAGACTTGGTTTATGTTCTCTTTAAATTTTAATTTAAATATCATTGTATTAAAGTCATAAATTACTAAGCTGCCATAGTGGTTTCTACACAGATCTGTTTTAGGGACAATATTTTAGGTTTCGATTAAAGGAATTGGTGAACTGATCGGACGAATAGATTGCCATAACCTATATTGTACGTTACAAATACGTATCTAATAATTATAGATAACAATTTAACTATCCGCTTATTTAACTAAATATTAATATATTGTCTTTAATTATTATAATTAAATCATTGCATTTAAATATAATTTTCACTAGAATAACCAAATAAACCGATACTTGTCCAACTCCAAAGCACACCTTACGCCATACTGCCATCCACCACGCCACGGTCACCGAATTTTTTACAGTGCAGTATTATGTATTGAATATACTGGATATGTGAATACAATATGTGCATGAATACAGTATTGTGTACTGAATACTGTGAATACAGTGATGTGTGCTCAGTTTCGTCCTGTCACCGCATGACGTCAGCAGAGACCTGCAGATTCGTTTTGACACAAAGAATAGCTATATAATACCTATAAACAGACAATTTTAATTATCCAGTTATGATGCAATGAAATGAAGAGTTCGAATGTTTTTCAAGTCACTGACTACTCAGATCAGTTTGAAATCCCGAAAACCGGTTTCTAGAGGAGTTTTTTGACGCTAAGTTAAAACAAGAAGCAATCCGGGAACTCAGTGAATAAAAACACTACCACACTGCTCACTTTTTTTTTGTGGCACTTTGAAATTTGGGGTTTTATATATCACACAATACAGTGAACATGAAAATAAAGAATTATTCCAAAAACTATCCAGATTACTATACATCTTAGATACAACAATAAATAGATATGAATAACATTAAATAAATTTATATATTGACACATTTAACATAATAATATATTCATTGGCTTTATAAGGTACGCTGGCTGTCTTATCTACATATCTAATGATGTAGAATAATAGAGAATGACAACAATGAGAAAATTTTTGGTAATTCTGTAGAATTTATTGCGATTTTGGAAATAAAATATTGGCATTCGTTTTTAACACGATCTAGGCTTAGAGTTGTAGCTAGTGAAAAAAAGTAATTGTAAAACATAAAACGTTCTTCAGTATCACATTTGAAGTTGAATAGTTTTTTATTGTATAGAACGTGTAGAACTTTTATAAGAGCGATAAAAGCTTTTGCTGCACGATTTCAGTATACAAGTCTATCAGTAAAAGCACCAATATTATTTTACTTATTATTCATTATATCGTTGTAGTAGACAGTATATCAGTATCAGCAATGGCATTGTCTAAGATTTTCACAAAAAAAAAAAACGTTAATAAAATAAATGTTCACATCTACAATTTAAAACCTTATCCAAAGATTTGTACACATTTTGCTTCAGAGATTATCAAACCTCTAATCTTAATTTTTGTTGCAGATCGTATTGAATTCGATGCATCGATATCAGCCCAGGATTCACCTGGTGAAATGGCGTGAACATTCAGGCCCCATCACAGACCTGGAACAAGAACAGTACCGTACTTACATATTTCCAGAGACGGTCTTCACGGCAGTTACGGCATATCAGAACCAGCTCATCACCAAGCTGAAAATCGATTCCAACCCCTTCGCGAAGGGATTCAGGGACTCCTCGCGCCTCACCGACTTCGACAGGTAGATATATTGGTTTGTTTTAGTTTGTTTTATGAAGCTAATACGTTGAATATTGATGATGTGAAAAATATGCGTCTATTTTATTTGAAAATCTTATAATTCAAAATCCATAATGTTATGGGAAGGACCCTATATTTATTTAACAAAATTACCTTAATTTTAGCCATAAAATACCATGCAAGTTTCTAGAAACACTTAAAATAAGAGTAATACAATTTTTTAAATCTTAGAGGAAAAGCACAATAATTAAGAAACTTTTAATAATTGTGGCACAAAAAATGCATTAGAGGATTTAAAAAATTAATGAAAAAACTGTTGTGATAATATTTTCAACCGCATTTTAAATCCAATCCTGAAAAACGTAGAACGCGTTGTTTCGCATTCAGCGAAACAAACGAAGCTGTAAACAAGCTTAGGACGAGTCTTCATTTGCTTGAAACCAATGGCAGGAATGCTCGTAAAACAATAGATAAACATAAAAGCCCAGTAGCCGACGCGACCATGAAAAAACACCGAGTAGAAATTATTATTATTATTACGTCCTTAATGTTGGACCTCCATTGTTTTTTCCCCACATCCGACCACCGTTTTGGGGGCGCCTTAATTAGATTTGTGTCGACGGAGCCGCATCGCCAATCATAAACCAGCTTTTTTCCTCGGGTAATTATCTTATTGTTATTAGCGGTCGCTTCTGTTGGTCGTAAAGCGTTATCCGTACGCCTGTCATCTGTTTCAAGGGTGTCGCTGTCGAATTGTTTCTGCTTCTTTGATACCTTTTTTCTAATAATAACATGCTTTGCCTTGATTGAGCTGGTATAAATCAACATTTGCTGATAATAAAAAATTGACATGATCATAATCATAATATGAATAATAGTATACGTATATAAGTGAGATACCGGCTTTTTTTCTTCCTTAGGTATTGGAAAATTAACAATTTTAGTTGATTGACTCTTATTTTTCGTCGAAAAAACAACCTTATTATCATCGTTTTCTTTAAATGTTGATAGCACTTTATACCTGCTTAAGTATTGCAAGAATTCCTTAAATTATCTATTCTCTCTAAAGAAATATAAACCTGTTTTATGATTTTAATTTTTTGGATAACAATATGGAAAAATTTGCATTGTTTCCGATAAACGAATTCCACACTAGACATATTTCAAAATTTTCAGTTACTGTACTTTGAAGAATTGCGTGTTTTTATTGTTTGAGGATTATATCCGTTATCAGTTTCTATTATCATCGACATGAATGTAAATAATGCATTTTTAACACAACCACAATTTAAAATTCAAATCCACTCGATTTACATAAACATTTTCTTCATATCTACATAGTGTTTTCAATATTCATTGAAGGTATGTAGTAAAAGTTTGACTTTGGAAATATGTGGTTTTCATGAATAAAATGACTTAGGGTTGGTTATATTCCTTTTTCAAAGTAAAATTGCTGGGAAAGGCATACTTATATCTAAAAAAAAACAACACCAGGTACTATTTGAAAATCTACTATATAAGGTGTTCCACGAGGAAATACATTTTAGGCGAACAAATAAAGACCTATAACACATAAATCTCTACAATTTACGTTGATTATAATTTATATGGAAAATTCGATTATCTACAATTTGTATCACATATTACCAACAAACTACATGTATTTAAAATGTATTTGATTTTACTATAATTCTATTAAATATATTCACTCTGTATTTTGTTATATCTACGTATAACCACGTTAAAGCAAAATAAATAAAAACACAATACATATAAAGTGTATTGTAGTAAATATTTTCACAATCTACGCTACATTCTACTACAAACACAACAGTGGATGTAAATTGTAGAATACAATAGAAGGATACTATTACACTGCAATAAAAGTATACAGTTGTTTGTGGAATTATGCTATACTTTATTACAATGGTGACAGCCTAGATGACGGCTTGTTGCGCAGGATATAGGACCACAATAATATAGTAATTTTTTTAAAGAAATTTTTTCCTGTACAGAATTTCATTTACCTACATATTGTTTACAACTCTTTTAATAAGTACATAGTTTTCGATTTCAGCTGCCAATGCCATAACCATAAGTTTTTTACATGTTCTCTAAAAAGTATATTGTTCGTATTTTCTTAAATTTTGGAGAAAATTACATATTATTGCAGCACATTTGTTCTACAGTAGAAAGTGCAGTTTTGCAAAAGAATTTACTAACTTAACACAAATATATAATTAAATTTGGTTGAAATCAAAAATAATAACAAATAAAGATAAATTATACAATAAAAGTATGTAAGTATTGTGACATAAATAAATTAAAAGAAAATCTGGGAACTTAGGATTACATATCTGGGAAACTTTTTTGCTTATATTCACCTGAAGATTACTGTTAAAGTTTGTACATTTTCTTATAGAACACCCTGTATAAGATCGATAAATTAAACCAAAACCTGATTCTTCTTGAAATGAATGAAATTATATACAAGGATTTATGAATTTTAAGATAATCTGTAATAAATGAGTTAAAAATTAAATATTTTAAAAATTGGCCACCGAATTACCCAGATGTTTTATGAAATAAATTTTAAAAGTTATAATTTCGTCTTATATTTCCGAAAATATTATTTATTTCAATGATTAATAGTAATATTTACAGCTATTTCTGAGATAGTTTGCTTTTTACCGCGTCTTTTTTGTACAAGGTAGACAAATTTATAATTTTTAGTTTTTATTATTTCCCGAAAAAACAGAGAAAAAGTTGTTAAAAATGTTACAGCTCTATTTTCGAGAAAATTGAAATGTCGAAAACCATATCTTGATATCTAATTCAATTAAGAGCTACAGGCCAAATTTCATTTTGGCCATATTTAGTCGTAGAAATTTTTATTTGCGGAAATTTCTTATTTTTATAAAAAGGTTCGTACATACTGTCTTATTTGTAGAATCTAGTGGCATACACGGTGTTTTTCTATCACTTTCGATTGTTGCAACACTAACTTTTTTTTATTATAGGATATTATAAGTGTATTTTTGATCTTCATAAAATGTTCTTTCAATTGAACTTTGAAAATAGTAGATATGTTCACAAATTCTTTTGTAAAGTTATGAAGAATATTATGAATTTACTGTTATCTCTTAATAAAATCAAGATATCGAGATCCGAGTTGCGTTATTTAACTTTTCTCGAAAACCGAGCTTGTGACATCTTTTTTTCTACCTTTTTGGAGAAACCTCCCAAAGCTTTTTCCCTTCTCGAAGCAACTCATATACAAATACCAAATTTCTCTTCGTAGGTAACATTTTCCCTTCGAAAACAAAGTATAATAACACCCTTCACCGGTGGTCCACAAGGTAACAAACAAAAGAAAACCACCGTCCCATTGCGGGTCGAACCAATCGCCACAACCATATAATTTCATCCGGCGCAAAAAGTTGACGAATGCCTCTCTGAATCCCAATTAGTTTGAGGTGGTATTCGATTTGTGTGATATAAGGGCGCTCCGGTCGCTAATTACAGGGTATTAGGATGTGTACAAATTCGTTTTTATCGACCGCGCCGGAATCGGAGCTATTACGGCAAACGGAGGCGCAAAACAAATCATAGAGAGCGAGGCAATCGGGCGGAGCGCCTCGGCGAAAACAATCAATAATATTGAGATGGATGCGGGCAGGACCGGACTCGAGATTTTTTGGGCCCTTACAATCGAATTGCGGGTGAAAAAATGCAAATGGTAAGACGAAAAAAATTTAGACATTTACCTGAATCATTAATTAATAAATGAGAGAAAGAAAAAAGCAGGTTACCGCGCATTTCACAGAGAAATAAATTATCAAACATAAAAAGTTCTGACTTGTCCACCAAGTAATAAACGCGAAGGAGTAACGGCAACAGCGCAATAGAGTATGAATGAGGATGGTGGAAATTTAAATAAACGTTTCGATACACAAATTAGTCATCAGAAATGGATTACATTCAACTTGTGTTTATTTGTGTAATTCAATTTGGAATAATAAAATAAAATGTGAATTTTTCAAATGAAGTGGTTTTTTGAAATCTTTTATTACTTATAAAGTACCATAAACCTTCAAAACAAGAAGTAAAAAATACAGCAGCTTATAAACAATGAAATATTTATACTTTATGCGACAAAGAGAATACAGCAGCATAACGGCTGGATCGTTCGTCGGTTGTCCCACCTATGACACACTGATGAGGAGTAATAAGTCCGAAACCTGTCTATGGTGGGTTAAATTAAACTGACAAACGATCCCAGCTGTTGCACTAGGTGTTGCGAGTATAATTCAATGCCAGTCGAGGCATATAGTCCGCGAAGTAGTTGTTTCTCGCAACACTGGCAATTATAATACTACATTGTATATCAAATTATTACTTTTATAAATACAATGGCTTTAAACCCTTAAGGAACATTTGTATTTACACAAATGCATCATAGTAGTATGCTACTTATGTACGTAAGTAAATCATATTTAAACTTTTCCGCGCGAATCACAATTTGTAGATTCGAAAATACGTAAAAGTTCTTTGCAAAAAGAGTAGTGCATACTTTGTGCCATGTACTCAAGGTCGATTAGTTGATGCCCTCGAACGGTGTGGGGAGGTTCTGGCATATCACAATCTTCTCTGCAACGGCTTTTTTCCTGCTTTTACTATTTTCTGTTCTAATTCTCAAGCACTCATACTGTCTTTTGGTCACAAATTTTCCTTTCTACCGACTCTGTTATTCATCCGACATTTTATAGATTAAAGCAATGAGCTATGCGAATAATAAACCAACTTGAAGATAACTCTATTGTGCAGAAAATACGGACGGAAATACTTCATTGTGAAAACTATTACGCAATTTATTGTTGAATCATTGGAAAACATTTTATTTTTGATATGTATTGCTAATTCTATTAAAAATGTATACCTACATATACTTTTTTAAATATAAATAAATTAGGCATTTATTTATGTTTTTAGAGAACGCATAGAAACGACTGCAAGAAAAAACTGTACATTCCACCGTTTTCACTAATTTTATCGAATGTGATTTCCAAACTGTGAAATTTTTAAATACGTCTCTGTTTATTAGGCACAGCTATCGAATTGCCGATTTCCGCTCATGTGAATATGCTGGTTTACATATGCCGGGGTTAATAATATAAAAATCTCACAACTAAAATTGTAAACCAACCAAAGAAGGTACGAATTTTTTGCTAACCTTCGTCCGCGGCCAGTGGTGTCCTGGAGGGGCGAGTTGCGCGGTGAGGCGATAATGAGAGGCCCGGACCCGCCCCTTCCTTCACGGCCCCCACCTAATTACGGCGCGCCCGAGAAAATAACCGGGAAAACAACCTACCTGAGGTGTGAGAAAATGCCCGGCTTCATTATATCATCAAAGCGTTCTCTGAAGACAACGATTGTCCCAAATTACAGGGCGGCTCTTTCCGATACGCCCCCGGGCCCTGCTGCCCGGATTTCGAAACGCGTAAATTAAATTCTATCACAACAGGAATGGGGCCGGTCTTACGAGACGCCGCCAGCATCTCGCCCGGATTATTACTTATCACTTTCACTGCTCGTGTGCGTGTTCGCCCCCCAAATCTAGCAGGCCTCTTATTACGGTCCGGCTGACACCGCCGGTCATGGAGGTGTCTAGTCCGATCTCGCCAAATTACTTCATCGCGGCCGGTTTTTATTAACTTATTACTCTGTCAGGGAGAGGCGGCGTGATTCTGACCGTCACTTTGTAATATGCAGATGCGAAAAATGGATGATTTAATCGGATCGACGTTTATCGCGGTGTTTTTCGAAAACAGCTTAATTTTTGTGGCGCATGTTGACGTACTTTTACAATCAAACACATAATCATAACTAATTAGTAAGACATATTTTTTGTTGTCCCTGTAAAAACAGCTCAATGAGAGCTCCGAGATTTCCGTATATTTTTAGTTCCTTCTGGAGGAATATATATTTAGTACTAGATCTTCATATATATAACAAACATTCTTCATGTTACCTTTCTTTTCCAGGGAACCGATGGACAGCCTGTTCATGGACCAGCACTTCCTGCGCTCTTCCCTCCGCCTTTACTCCGGAGACCCCCTGGACGCCGAGAACAACAACGCCAGCTCCTTCTTCTCGGCGGCTATGATGGAAAAAGCCCGCGCCCAGATTCAGATGTGGGGTCGTGCGGGTGCCGCATACAACCCCAGCGAACTACACGCCTTCCTGCTGAACAGCGCCCCCAGCCAACAGGTCTACCTGGGGCAGCGCTCCACGGTCCCTCTGGGCATCCCCAGCCAGCTATGGCCCCAGAGCGGGTCCTCGTGGCAATCCCCCATGCACAGCGGTTTACCACCCGGATTGTTGGGTCCCCCCACCTCGCACAGACCCCAGCTCACCCCTCCCCCTTCATCTACCCCTAGCTCCTCTGGTTCTCCCTCCCCCACGTCCATCAGTACCTCTTCGGATTTAAGGTTGCCCAAAGCGATTTTTCCTTCGACGATGCACCACCGGTTTAGCCCGTACGCCTCGTCGTTGCCCAGGCCTAGCGGGTCGTCCCCGTCGAGGCCTTCGCACTGATGGTAGGGACTTTTTGGCGCTAGGCCAGGATGTAACCAAAGAGTCTTATAGGGACGTTAAATGTGAAATTATATACTTGTAAATAGGTATTTATAGTCGGAGTAATTTATTATATATGTAAAAATCAATGGGAGTAAGTTCTGGTAGTAAGTGATATCGTCTCATAAGTATGTGTAGTTATATTTTGTACGAGAGCAGTATTAATGTAAATATTTCGTTACGTGTATCTTTGACTCTTGACCTTGAACGCTGTGCGTTGAAATTTTTCGGAAATTATGTATTTTCGGATATTTTAACTTGGCGGAACAGATCAAGCGGGCAATGTCGTACCAAATTCCTTTATTTCAAAAAGTATACCGTCACTGGCGTCGTTTCTTTTAACCTTCTTTGTTTGGACGTTTCTCAACGACTGTTACGTTGAAAAGGAATCTTTGTTGTGTATATATGTGGACTGTAAAATAAATATATAATTGAATATTGATCCTCAGAATCCATTTGTTATTTATTTTTCCCCTAAGCACCCATACAAATATATTCAAAAGTTTCGGGAAAAGGTAGAACCCACTTACATATGAATGGGGCGGGCAAGAAATATGGGAATAATTCATGACTTCTGTAAGACATGCGAGCGGAGAAGAAAAGAAATGCCTCACTCGATATGTAGATCTCAACGAACGCCGTTTTACAGAAGTAGTTAGTTTTTCTTATTTTATGAAAATTAAAGTGCTTTCGCTGAAACATCTATGGAACACAATTTTCATTTGCTGACGAAATGAGTTTATTCAGGTAAGTATTTAAATATCAGGATTATTTTATTAATAAATTTGGGAAGTAATATTTAAACAAAAATATTAAGAGTACCAACAAAATTGGGAGATAAAAATTTATTAAACGAATTTTTCGAGAAAAATTCCTTTAAAAACAGTATTTTTGTCTTCTACAAGGACAATTTTAGACAACTAGAACAATTTTCTTAACAAAAGCCTTCATTTATGGTAAAACACAAAAATGCTGGAAAATTTTCCTTGTTGTTGTCATTAGAAGATAGAAACGACCTGACCTAACCTAAGTTTATGTAGAAATCTAGTGTGAAGTAAAGTTAGGTTAGGTTAGGTTAAATTTTCCTTTATATGTATCAATTCAACCCAACTTAACTTTATAAAGGGATTTACCTCAAGAAACACTCAGATAATTCATGTAAATATTAAATGTAAGAGAATCTATAAAACGATATATATATATATATTTATTTTTGNTTTGTTTATATATATATATATATATATATTAACAATGAAATAAGGAAAAGGGAAACTTAAGTCAGTGCACCAACATTATGTAAATCATTTTTTAAATTAACCTGTCTATAAATATTACTTTCCTTGTGATGTAAAATACAACCGTATAGAGCAAACAAATTTATGCAGTTTGCTTAATGAGTTGCAAAAAAACTTAGTTCTCTTATTTCATTATTTACTACCAACGTAAATTTAGTACAACTATTTTGTATCAAATCTAACCTAAAAAACACATATTCCATAATTATTTGTATGAAAAGTAAATGTTTTGGCAAGGTAGGTACTGTCCTAAATGATGAATAAAGAACTTGCATAGAAGAGGGGGGGGACTAGCTAGATAGTTTTCCAAATAGTAAGTTAATTAGAAAATAGAAAAATAATTAAAAATGCATGTTAGAATATAAAAAAAATTAAAAGGGAGTTTTCATTAAAAAACTAAGCGGTGTCGTACCTTGTTGAAATTTTTCTTTAGAGCAAGTGCCTAAAGTAATTTTGCATGCTTAGAAGATTGCAAAATGCAATTAATACACAAAATGTATCTTGTGGAAGTATTTCACTTAATTCAACTAAATAAAAATATAATTTTTAATGAAAATTAGTTCCCCTAAACTTAGTAATGTATTTCCTTTCCAAAAAAAAACAATTTGCGACTTGTTGAGGTTCTGTTGAGTTGCCTATCATATTAGTACTATAATATTTTGAAGTAAAACTATTGTAAAATAATTTTTCACAATACCATACTGACTAAATAAATATTCTTCATTGAAACAATGCAAAGACGAATTTCTGTTGGTAATTATTTACTAAAACGTAAAAATCCTCAAGAAATTTCACCTCTCCCCCTTATTTTCGGCACCAAACATGAATCTGAAATTTTGTACAGTCAAAGGTAGTTTTCGAGAAGAAAAAATTTCATATCTTAGCCTGTACACTTAACACATCACACATCACTATTTGCAACACTGCCATCTATATATCTTAAAATACATGTAATAGGAAATCTGATAATTCTAGAGAAACATAAGTATTTCTTTTATTTTTTTTAGTGAGATAACTAAAAAAGGACAATAATTATTTGTATACTATTTCGTATTCAAACATCCAATTCCGTCTCCGACCGTCGTAAATCTCTCAGTCATCTATTTTCTTTGTCTATCTCTAAAATATGGTTACTAAGTACTGCAAATTTATTTTGCTTTCCATTAATGTGAGTCGCTTGAAAACAAATAAAAAAATATGAATATACGTAAATATAAATATGAAATGGTAAAACCACTATGAACCTCATTTTTTTTTGTTTGTTTTGAGCTCTACTCTCTCTATCTCAAGATAGAGAGAAGAAAAGTAGATATCTGTATTGACATTTCCTTTTCATTGAATCCACTAGCTAGCCGTTACTTCTGTATGAAGTCTACACTGGTTTAAGCCACTGTAACAGTTTAGAAGCAGCAGAATTGTAATGGGACGTCATAATTTGTGGTTGTAGATTGCGAAATACGGACATTATTCTGATAGGCCGATTTAAGTAAAAAAATAGTGTACATTTATGTCGTTTTTAAGTGTTAAGTTGTACATTGACTACATGAGCTTCGTTTCACAAATATACATTTTTCTCTGGGTTTCTGTTCGTAGTATAGACCGACAATTGATATCCTTTAATCACAACAAATCATTTACAACTTATCCAATTCAAATTTGACAAACAAATTAACCATTCATGTATTCTTGGAACATAAAAAACAATGTCCCTCCTAAACAAACACAGTTCAAACAGGTAAAGCCAAACGATGAGCCGTTTTCCCCCGCTGTTATATATTTAGGTTCTCTCCAATGCAGCATAAACGGACGTAACCGAAACGTCTATGTCTGGGCATTTTGCTTTTTTACATATACGCGTTATTAAATTTTATTACCACCATAATCGTTAGTCGCTTTTTCTAGCATCTGCCTATTATTTTCCCGCTGAGATGAACCATTAAACGATATTTCCAGACAGTGAAAGCGTCCCGTCAAATGGGCAATCGTAATAAAATATTGAAATAAGTTAATTGGTGCCTTTTTATGCAGAAGTGGTACCACCCAAATCTCATTGGTAGCGATAATAAAATAAATCTGGTTGCAAGATTTTAAGTCTACGTGAACCAGGACATGGCGCGTCTATGAACTTATAGTTATACAGGGCGTTGCGGAAATAATAAAACAAAAAATAAGATAATTTCTTTCTATTTGCCTACTGTCTTTCGTTTTTGAGACGTGGGACGTCAAAAATGATTTTTTAGGATCAAATTTTAGCCATATATTTTCTAAAAAACAGTGTAATGCACTGAAATTTCGTACAGGTAAGTTGTTGAGGTTCTAGGGACGCTTTATTACATAATTTTTCTGAGGTTAGGTTTGTATGTATCTCAGTGTAAAATTTCATTTTACGTTTACATAAGAAATCTGACCCTTATGTACTATTTACATAGATACCTATTATAAAAATTAACATCTTCAAATTAATTTAATTTTACAAGAATTTAATAGTATTTAAGAACAACCAACACGTGTTTCGTAAAATAGATATACTAATGTACCTAAAACTTACAAAAAACTATATAAAAAATATTTAATATTAGCCGTGTTATTTCTAATGCGCATGCTCGGAAAGAATAGTCTCATACGCAGGTGAGCTCTTGCTGATATCGCTGTCAACATTAGCGTATTTTCCCTTCTTTTGTTTAATCTTGGCATTTTTTTAGTTCTACTGAGTTTTTTATTGTTTTTCTTTGTGCTGTGCTGTATCAGTGTGTTTTTCGAGTGTTTTTGTTTTTCTTCAAGTGATTTATTATAGACGTACTCTTAACCATAACCGAACTTTTCTAGAATGATATCCTGTTGCGAAGTTACTTTGCTTACATGAAATTATCTTTAATGCGCATACTCAGTAACATTGATATAATTTTAATTTATTAATTACTATAAAAGTCGATATTGTTCTATAAATTTAAATATATAAATTATATAATTCATATAACCTCAAAAAAGTCATAAAATGTCATTGACTAATGTCGTATCAACCAAACGGTAACAATGTTAACGCATTTAGCACACTTGAAAACATTTCTGAAACTGGATTTTAAAAAATTTTCTCCGACGTCCTATATCTCAAAAACAAAAGACAATAAGTCCATAGGAAAAAATCTTATTAGCTTATTCTTAATTTTAATTTTTAGTCCCTAGATTTGCGGTTACATTCTCCAAAACACCCTGTATACGATGCGCGATCGCAAAACGTCGCTTGATAATTACCCTTAGAGTCTTTAACTTCAAGTTGCAAAACAACTCACCACATGTCAATGTAAGTATACAATTTGTTTACATTTAATGAGTTTCTAATTTATTCATAGACACATTGTGGTTCTTACATGTATTTTGCAGCTATTTATGTCATATAAACATACGGGAAGAAGACCCATCTGCATGGAAAGACGTCAAAAACAATGACTGAAACATGTTTTACTAGTATCTATAGCTACTGTTATAAACAATCATCTAGAACGGCGCCATACCGATCTTTTTTAATATTAAGGTAACAGTAATAGGAATTGAAGAGATATTATAGTTTATCCACTTTTCGTTACCAATTCTGAACCACACTACAGGCGCCAGTGTCAATACCACCTACTGACGATTGACATGGTACATAATGAAATAAAAAAGTCATTATTCATGCTACATATTCATAAACTGGCTAGTTCTTTTGAAACAACACTCGGCTTATAGTTAATGAGCTCAAAGTATAGCTTACATTTGTCAAGTTACGTAATGGGCTCTGGAATTCTGCTTATATTAATACATTACAATAAAAACACAGAGAATTCTTTGAAGTAATTATGTGTAGGTACAGATCTGATGGAATTATTTTCTCTTATGACAAAGTAACAGTTTTGAAATAGACATAAGGTATTGAATACAAAATAATTTTAAACATAAATATATATCTGAAAACTAAATAAATTATTTCAGTATACAAATACAACTCTAAAAAGTGTAACACGGTCTAAAAGCCTTCTTACATTTTTTCCTCAGTCCACCAGCAGCAAATAATAACTTTCCTAACACCAATCAATTAATTACGGAACCACATTAACACACCTTGTTTGCACAAA